GGGGGGGGGGGGGGAGGCTAAAGGGAGGCACCGGTGTGGGGACTACCGTACGCGTTTCGCCTCAACTCTGTCAAAAACACACTGGTGGCACATGTCCTTACCCGGTGCTTGGAGGCCTGCCCTACCACCAGCTGTATGTCCACGTGGCTCCATGCGCCCCACCCGGCGCCGCCGGCGCCCCACCAGCCCCTTAGCTCCGTCGCCCCCCCGACCGCCCCGCCCCACAACTTGCCCGTCGCCGCCCCCTTCGACGCGGAGCCCCCCGCCGCCGCCGCCGAGCTATCCGCGGGTCCCCCTTCCACCGCGCCCTCGACTTTGTTCCCTGGGGACCCTGTTCCTGTCTCCTCCGCCACGGCGAGGGCACCGCTACTTGTGGCACTGCTGCCGTTCGCCTCCAGCGACAGCGGCTGCGGTGGCGGAGTTCTGGGCACGGAAGCTCCTCCCCCTGACACTGCCGGGGAAGGCGACGCAGCAGCAGCTGCAGCAGCTGCTGCTGCAGCGGGGGCGGGGCTCCGGGGGGAGTGGGGAAACAAGATGCTGTCGTGCGGTGAAGGGGGAGCGTTCGAGGCCGAGGGTGCGACGCCGTAGAGGACTTGGCCGCCCCGCTTGCGCACGAGTTCTAACCCGTGGTTCGCGGCAATCTGCACACAAGGAGCAAGCAGTGTACGCGTGTTGCCACGTTGGCACGGCGTACCGGTGGGGGGTCGGCGTGACTCGTTACTTCTCCCATGTCTGAGAACGATTCGTTGCTCGTCGATGCGCATACTATCAGGACGAAAAGCAGAGATATTCATGTCTCTACACAACAAGACCTGCGAGGCAGAAGCGTAGACGACGTATCACATACACTCGCAGGGTAGAGTACAATTGCCGTCCACGTTTTCTTGGTCCTGTGCCGGCATTCGCTGACATGAAAAAAACACGCCGACATGCATACCCCCCACTCCCTCCTCCCCGCGTCCACTTCGCGATGTCATCATCAGCTGCAGTGCCACCTACAGTCTTGAAAAACAAACAATCAAAAATGACATTCACCCGGGTTGCTCGATGGCTCACCAGCGAGGCCACGTGCAGGATGGTGACCGCTTCAACGTCGGGCCGGACGCAGCACTCCAGCATGTACGTGCACACCGGCTCGCCCTGCCCCTGGTTCGACGCCACGGGAACCAGCCCGCTGAATACCTGATAAAAGATAAGATACGAAACGGTAGGATAAGATACGACATGCGTGAGATAACATATGATAACCTAATATAAGATACGGCAAGTGTGACGGAGGGAGGGAGGGGGTCCCGACAACGACGACGTCAACAATTGCATCAACGGCGATAGCGACACAGAATTGCCATGCCAGACACTGGAAACGCCTCAACAAAAAGAAAAACGTCCGCTCCTACAGCAGTAAATACGCTCATCCCAACCTTGGCCACTTGCATGAAGACGTCACCCCCCTCGCACCCCCCTCTATCTACGACTGCAAACAACAGATTTATTTTTGTTTTTGGTCCATCGAGGTTCACTGGGCTCTTTGAGTGCAACCCACGTCAGCTGTGTCAGCAGTTCGAGCTTGGGAAAAATCATGATACCTGGCAGCTGGCAGACAGCGACGGGCTAGTTTTCTACTGATTGTATTTTCATCTTGCGTCACCCCCTTTGAGATCTCATGAGCACACTCCACAGGGGCCCCTTGTTTCATATTGGGGGGGGGCGTGCTGTTCATCGGCCCCTTGGGGGCGGCATGGCATGGACACAACAACCTGACGGGACGGACACGCGAGACGCTGATTGGTCGACTGAATAGACGTTGATTGGCTCGACTGACTACTCGTTCACCTGCGTCAAGATGTGGGGCGTGAGTGCCTCCGGCGCCCATCTCTCAGTAAAGGCCGGAAGGTGCTCGAGGCGAGCTACGGGTTCGCCCCCGTCCTTCACCTCGGCTTCTTCCTCCTCCAACCTTGTTGATCATCAAATGTATCCAAGCGTTTTGCCATGGTAAGTATCAAGTGTTCCACAGCACGTACGCAGGCATACCGTGGTGATGGATTTCACGTTGTACCACCGGCGCCGCCCCGGGTGGCACCATATCGAAACATGGCGAGAGCAAGCACCAACAGTCGGGAAGGAGCAAAATAAAACGTCAAGGGAGACGATCTGGTGTACAAACCGACTGACTGGCTGCCTTGTTCTTCCTACCTCGGAGGACAGCTGCAGCTACTCCTGCTGTGTGTGTTCAACTCTTGCTTTGTTGTGATGCGGCAACCATAAGCCCACGCTTGCCACAAGCTGCCGCAACGTTCTGGCGGGTGATACAAAAAAGGAGCCCAGGAGCACCTCACCCCACCGCTCACGACAACGACACCAAGCCCTGCCGCCCCGTGCCATTTATTTTCGCTCGGTACTGCTGCACAGCGGCGGACAACAAAGCAAAACGCGGCAACAAAAAAAGCGTAACCTTCTCTCTTGCATGGCCTCGCTCGTGAAAACACTCTTGTCACGCAACACTCAAAAGAGGGGAGACGCCAGGCCGTTCGACAAGCCCTCTCTCCGGCGTACACCAAGACCACCACACCCCCTCAGGTTTGCTTGTGAACAAAGTAATGCAAAGACACCGCCTCTGCTACGTCACCATCGTCGTCGTTGTCGCTATGCGGTCGGGCATGCAGGAGACAAGCGGGGCGGAGATACCCAACGAATACAGTCATGGTCCCGACATACCGCGGTGTCGCGGCAGACAAAAAATCACCGCGGTACAGATCGAGACACCGCACTATTGAGTGTTGGGGAATGTAAAGCTTTTGATATGGTAGCCAAATCCTGTGACAAGCGACTTTTGCCGCGGTGTGTCAGGGCCCGCACTGCTCTAGACCGCGGTACGGCATACCTGGACTACCACTGTACTGCTGCACGGCCAAACAAACACCTCCTTCTCACCTCAGCATCTCTCGCAACGGTCGCCTCGGGATCGCTCTCGTCACGAGCCTGCCCCCGTCACCCCCACCCGCGGAATCCTCCCCCCCGCCATTGCCCGCAGCCCCACCCACGTCAATGGCACCGGCATCAACCTTGCCCCCTGGTCCTCCTTCTCCCTGCCCCACACCGTTACCGTTGAGACCTCCCGTTGCCGCCGCCGGTGGTATTCTTGCAAAGCCTTCGACGCGCTCGCTGGCTGTGCCCTCCCGCCCGCCGCTATCTGTAGCCCGCCCGGCGGCCGCCACCGCGGAGGACGCCGCTTCTTCCGCCTCTCTCGCGACCGCCGCCACCGCCGCCGCCGCCCGTGAAAGTTGCTCGCCGCCCTCGCCGGTGGCGCCCCCCCTTCTGCTACCGCTCTCATCATCAGCCCCTGCCCCCCCTGCCCCCGCCCCCGCCGCCCCCAATGATGCCACCACTGCTGTTGCCGCCGCTGCGCCCGCCGGTCGTGGCGAGGCTCGTAGGCCGCCGCCCTCCCCGTCGCCGCCCCGATCGCAAGGCTTGCCTCCGGACATGTCGATGTCATCGACGGACACGTCGATAAGGCTCTGCTTGAGATCCGCGGCCTGTTCGGCATCGGGAACAAGCCATCGCAAGCATGCACTTACTAAAGCTGAACGTGGTCAAGCAGACACGAAATACAACGGTCCACGAAACTCGCCACCGCCCTTGTCTATAAAATTGGAGCAGTCCGGTAACACAGGAGGCGTGTTGTTCGTGACTGTTTGCTGATTGGCTTGTTACACTGCCAAGAGTAGCGGCCGTGGCTTTATACTCTGCCGGTTCGCTGGTCGGGCACATGTCGGCACACTACTGCGGGCCCGTGGCCGTGGTGNGGGGGGGGGGGGGGGGGGGGGGGGGGGGGGGGGGGGGGGGGGGGGGGGGGGGGGGGCAGTCACAAGCCCAGTGGGACGTGGCAAACATCAATCCGCACAAGGGAGAGTGGTGCCACCGATACAGCAGTCAGTGACACGTGCGATCCGGATGGCTGCTTGTGGATGACAGCAGTCGGATTATCGGGCAGACAGCTTTCACCCAGTCGTACCGCATCACACCTCTTCGCGACTACTGTTTAAGATTTTCGAGGCCGGCTGCGTTCCGCCCAAGAGCCCGCGCTTCCTGCGCACACCGTAGCTTAATCATTGCACCAGAACTGCTGGTGCTGTTGTTTCTACTGCTGCAGCGTTGACGTGAGCCGTGTGCGGTCATCTGCTTGACATGAACAGCAAAGGGAGGGATTGCTTCACGTCTCTCCCCCTCTGTGCAATCGAGCCTCCACTTGTTGTCGAGGACACAGCATACTTGCAACGGGGAAATACTGGCGACGCACCTTCGTGGTGAGGCTTTGCTCTTCCTCGAACATCCCGTCGTCGTCGTCCTCCCTTCGGGTCTTCTCCTTTCCCATGGCAACCAAGGCTCCATGCATCCCTGTTGAGACGACGGGCGTCAGGGATCGAAATCCCAGGAGCACATCCGGACGCGCGCGAGAGTCGACGAGAAAGAAACAAATAGAGTACTAGATCAGTGATGTATGCATACCACGGTAGTCGTTCATTCTACACACACACCAAAAACCCAAGTATCATAATTTCGTATCACACGACGGCGGAACGCCCACGCATAGTAACTCGGTGCTATCATACAACTGCTGCAGCCGAACTGATGCCTGCTGCTGCAGCTGCTGCCGCTGTTGGGTTTCACCAAAATTCAACAGCAGTCTAGATAGCGGGTGGCCTCTCTCTTGGTCCAACAACGACAGCGGTAGCATTGCCTGCGACCGAGACATCCTATGGAATAACTAGTCGGCCGTAAGTACGCGCTGGTTCACCTAACAACTGGGCGGCCAAGACAGGACGCAACGACTACTAACCCGACAACACCAAAGTCGCTGGCAACCGCGGTATTTGAAACTGCCAAAAATGGGTTGTTGTTGTTGTTGTTGTTGTTTCTCACATTAGCTCTATGGTCCACAAAAAATGGGGAGCCCGTGGTCTCAAAACCCGGCACATACGACGCCGCGGGGAAACAAAACCAAAATAGGGTACAAACCACTCGGAAAAAGAAAACAAAATGATAAGAAAGAAATGAACAGGTATCGTGCCGACCGTTCGAGAAAAGAGCCCTCGGAAACCGATCAAAATAAAAACAAAAACAAAAATAAAGGAGGACGCTTCCCACACCCGCCTAAATAAAAATCAAAGGGTAACGTACCAGCACCAGGCACTACGCATCAGGGCATGGGAGTAACGGAGCAAACAGGACAAAGAGGCGGCAGATGGGCAGACAGTCAGAGGTACAAAAACAAAGGCAACAGCAAAAGCGAGATCAAGGTACCCAACACAACAGAGTAGGCAAGGAGGTCATGAAAAAAAGAAACACAGCACAGAGGCCGAAGGCAATACAAAGGATATACATAAAGGAGTATAGCATACAGCAATGGGTACTTCATCACGGAAGCCGGGGACTCCCGAGAAACTGCCGTGGGCGAACGTAGTCGAAACTCGGGGGCGAGAACTGTGGCAAGGACTGGCAGAGACTGGCAGATCGCTTCACGTACGCATAGCATGCCGTCGACCGTTTTCGGTAAGTTCCAACTATTATGGCTTCCCGCTCAGATCTCAGAAGAAACGTGACCTCATCTAAGGAACTAAAAATACAAATCGCAGCGTGTCGACACTTCGATCAAAACCAGGCTCTCGCGGGCCTACCGTTCGCAACCACTTCACAACCACGAGCCCAGTTCAAGCCTACGGCAGCAGCAGCAGCAGCAGCAGCAGCAGTAAAACCCAGGTAGTTTCTACCCCTTCCTGGATATTGGCCCCATGTTTAAAGGTCGATTGATCTCCCCACACAGACCAGAGGGTTAGGCTGATAGGGGCATTGAGGTCCGGCATCGACATCTTCTCGCGGCAACATATCTGTAGGTATTGATTCCTCCCATCCATTCTTCCACATGGCAATCCATCCCATGGGCAACTAAGCTTTACTAGGAATGGTGCCTTCACCCGATCAATAGCGGGTACCCACGCCATTCAAAGCACTTCAGACTACATACCACGGAGTAGGAGTAAACGACTTGATAATCTATCTGTGTAAGAGATTTCATCCACCTGTACCGGCCACCGGCCACCCGCCCTAACACTGTATAACCTGCCGCATTAGGACGCACCACTGCTGTATTCCGTATTCCGCTGCTGCCCCCGAAAGCCCCTGCGTTTGTGCGTGGACAAAACTGACAACACTTGCAGCCAAACAAATGATCAATCGGTGTGATGTCGTTGCAGGATACCAGTAGAGAGGTCCTGTACGAAAGGTGTTGACCTTATACTTCTTCTCCATGCCTTCATCTCCGCCCGTCGACAGGTGCTCTTCCTTACAAAACTACAACACCTGCCTCCAGATTATGAGAGTCCGGGATCGCTTAGCGATGAACTCATGTGGTCTTTGGTTTCGCTGCAGGCACTGTTTGCTGCTGCTGCTGCCGTGGCCTAATTCAGTGGATCAAACAGCGCCATCGCTCGCTGATTGCAACCGACCAAGTACCTGCCAGGTGGTACAGGTGGATACTTCGTATTAGGTTGCGGAAGGCAAATTGACCGGCACCCAGTTTTGCCTTGCTTCTCAACACTGTTGTCCGCTTCAATGGTTGTTTTGTCTCCAGATCTGAAGTCTGCAGTATCAAGTCTTGTCACTCGCTGCTGCTAAACGTGGGGCCGTAGCAACAAATGACTCGTCTGTTGATCGATGGATGACCTCGACTGCTGTGCACATACTGTACATGCAACCCGGAGGAAACATGGTCCCAGAATCCCCGCCACTGATTGAAATAAATACTTGCAGGTTTAAAAGGTAATCAAGATCAAGTCCTCCAGCAACAGCACCCCAGCAGCATCATGAACGTTGGCATGCGCAGGCAGCCAAGAAATCAATCTTGCCATCTTGCCGAAAGTTCTGGTTCTCTGTAGTTGCGCGGTGGGGCCCGCGCGCTGGCTTCAATCGAGAAAAGTGCGCCGACAAAAGAAGAAGGGTGAAACCGATGTTGGCGCATTCCACGTAAGTCACATTTCCGTCGCACACTATTATTACGCCTATGATACCATGGAGCACACATAGACACACACATGCTGTACATGTAGACATACCTGCATCTCCTTCTGGAGACCCGAAGCTCCTTCGCATGACCTCCACGGCGATTTTGTAAACCCCTCGCAATGCGGGAGACGACGGTTCCGTGGGGCTGGCACCTTCCCAGTCGAAGTCGCTGCCGGTGCTACAATCGTCCTTGACGCTGCTCGTCGTCATCGGCGAGAGCGGCCCCCCGATCTCCGACTCCACGTCCACCTGTCCTTGTTGAACCCCGTCAGCAAAGGGCGCATCTACCTTACCGAAGAGTTTTGGTGGGTCCTGTTGTTCTTGCCGAGCGGAAAGACTGACGAAGTTATCATCGTCCTCGTCGCCTGCTGGTGCCTTGGTGCCAATCACAAATCCCCCTTCCCCCGCGGCGCACGATAGTGCCGCGGATGAAGCCATGGCCGCTGGAGGGCCTGGCGTAGCAGCAGCCTCTCGCTCGCGATGCCTGTTCTGGTCGGGCGGCGGCTGGGCACCTCCAGCTTCTTTTTCGCTGCTGTCCCCTTCAACCATTCCCTCCGCCCCTAAGGGGACAAAGGAGCGCGAGGCCTACTTCTTGTACCGGAGCACGTGTATTCCGTGGCACTGCCTCGCGCGCAAGAGGAAACCAACGCGCAGCAGTAGATTTGTACTTGTCAGTAGCGGAGCAGGCTGCCTGCCGCATCGGACACGCCAATGGTATATGACAATAACAATTATGTTATTGTCAAAACAATTATGTTTTTGTCATGTACCATGCATTGGGCACGCAAAGCAAACGAGGGGGCAACGCCGAATCATGAAACGGAATGGAGGGTATACCCATGTAATTTTCAAATTCAATGTCACCACCACCCACGGGCGATCCCGTCCACGGGGAAAGCGGCTCAGCATTAGAGAGACAGACCAGACAATCTCTGCACTCGCTCGCTGGTCGAAAGCATGTCGGATCGATTTGCGCCTGGTGAGGGATAGATACTGCTCCTGCGATACCACGTGGATCAGCTGCTCGCCGGTGAAGGTGTGTTGAGTTTGGCAAATTGCGCACATATGTTCAACAGCAGCACCTGAAGGTGGGGTGGGAAGAGCACGCAGGGAGTTCGGCAGTATGTAGCGAGAGAGAGAGACTAGTCGAATTGGAAATACGCGAGCGCACGCTCTCCTGCCTCTCCCCGCTGCGTCTGATATTCTGTCGCCGAGCTGCACGGAGGTTACGAGAGAAGGGAAAGGGGTGGTTCTCGAGTTGCTCGTCATGATATACCTGATCCGAAAAGAAGATTTTTCTGTAGGCGGTCCCAACAAATTTCAAATTTCATGCTCCCTTCTGTTTACCTTGTCCTCACTCCTCGTGTAGTAGCACAGCGGTGGGCAGCACAGGGGAAACACAGAAGAGTTTGCACGATCGCGTAGATTCGTTTGGCAGACCCTTCCGTCTTGGCTGTTCGTCAGTTTGGAGTTGAAGCATACTTGGTGCGGGCCGGGGCGAATGCCCCAGGTTTTTGTTGTTGCAGCAGCAGTCTCGACAGCAGTCACCTCGTCCCTGGTGTACCTGCACAAGGGCCAGGGATTCGCGGATACGGAAGTTTGGACCAAGAATAGCATCGTCCCGGTACAACAGCAGTCCTTGCCGCCCCTGATCCACGAGTGAGCACACAGGCAGCGGAACCTTCGCCCCCCCCCATGAAATTCCGCAGGCCCCCGCGTCGAATCCATCTCCGAGTGTAGCCCTTAGGGGTATCATTAACGACAATCAAGTAACGGAACATTTCACAGAAGCGTGTTTTCTTGAACATATGTGGAGGCGTTTTTCCCCGAAAACGTGAAACGAAGGAGCCGGGATTTTTTGGGGCTTGCTACTTTCACGGATCCGTGTTTTTGACACAAGTATCGGACAAGCGCACCGCGAGCGCTGTAACATCATTGAGAACGCTAGAAAGACCTGCCAGACTCACGTCCAGGTCTATTGTGGAGATGGACAAACGACAGAAGCGGCGTTCAGTCCGTTCTTGGTCCAAAACTAGACATTGCGTGGTGCTCTCGTCTTCAATTGCTGCTGTTGGTGCTGGGGAATGTTTTTCAATCACACACAGCAAACACGGAAACAGTAGGACGAGTATAGCAGCAGCACCAAGACCTCCAACGCGCTGATTCCTTCGGTTCGGCTGTCTATATGGTACCATCTCCCGGCGCCGTGCTGCTTCGTGGGTATTGGGTGCTTGGGTGCTGCTCGATAGGGTGTGTGGGAGATGTGTGCCACCTCACCAAAATGCCATTGGAGAAATGTGGCGAGATGATCTGTTTTTGGTCGGACACGTCAACATCAATCCACGGCACCACGCAGCAGCAGAGCAACAGGGCCTCCGACACGCTAATTCTTTCGGATTGGCCATACATATGATGCTGGCCGTCAGCGCGGCTGCCGCCTCATGATTGTTGAGCTCGTCTACCTTTGGGCAGGTGCTGGTCAAAGATGGGAGTCGCAACCGTGCAAAATGAGCTGGCAAACTGAAGAAATCATAAGCAACACCCAGGTTGCGACACTCTGCCCTGCGCATGTTGTTGCTGAAAACTGAAAACAGCAGGCCGGGTGGATAGGATCTTTCTAAGTGTGTTGTCGTCCGTGTCGGGCGCTGCTCATTGCGCTTGTACCGCTGCTCTCCGGTGAGCAACACCAAGTCAACCTGTTGTGTGCCGAGCAAAGCGTGTATTCAAGGAAGGAAACTTGCTTTTTGCGATGACATCATGAATAGAACAAGCGATTAAATGTCGGGTTTTCTTTCCACCGTTCCGTGGAAAATTGCACGACTTTTCCGAAGCGTTAATAACGAGCCTTAGTTCGTGGAGTTCGTGGAGATGGATGAATGCAAGAATGCATTCTTAGAGGATCTCTTCTAGGCGCCCTCTGCTGCCAACCGTAGAGTTTCTAATGTGATGTCGCTCGCGTGTCATCGATCCCTGCCGCCTCTTTCAATCAACAAGTTTGCACCCTTGCTGCCCGCGTTTGGTACGTTGTACAAAATGCATATCTACATATATGCGTAGATCCCCCAGTGCATAAGATTTTTCGATTTTTCGATTTTCCTGCGTTTTCGATGCAAGACGGAAGGATCAATTTGTCCATCAGCTGTGTGGTTGATAGGTATACAGATAGCGCCCGCACTTGAGAACTTGTCAGATAAGTTAAGTTTTTGATGCCCAACACTTTCTTATCAAACGTGAGAACTTGAGCACCGTTTGTGAGCCCGGAAGAACCCCTAGGCTAAAAATCGGTTTTTACATGACCATGTGTAGCGCACAATCAAAACCAACCTCGGCGTCGACCAAACTTGAGGTTCTTGAGCGCGGGCGCTATCTGTATTGAAAGAGTAGGAAATCATGCGGACATATTCAGACTTTGCCGATTCTTGTAAGCAATCCGCCAGCCTACGGTGACGTACATACGCATATCGGTGATTCCAACTCCCGCTGTCCAGTCGACGCCTCCCCCCTACCCCCTCATCGACACTCCAGGCGCGCATCCACACCATCATGAAGACACTTGCAACTTGGGGCAGAAGCACGAAGGGACAGCAGGAAGAATCGTGGCGACACCGTCCTCTTTTCACGTTCCGCGGGTCGGGCAGCGCCGCCGCCGCCGCCGCCGCGGACGGCAACGATGAAGACGGCGGCAGCTGCTTCGATTTCGACGGCTGCGGCAGCAGCAGCAGCAGCAGCAGCAGCAGCAGCAGCAGCAGCATCGAAATGACGGTCCGTCGAGACGAAATCCTCCCCGACAGCAGCGTAGGGCCTCGTGCTCTCGGAACCAACGGGCTGCTGAACCCTCACTCGTCCGAACCGGCGACGCCAGCATCCTCCCCTGAGTTAGCCGTAGCAGAACCGGCGATCCCACCATCTCCGGCGGCGGTGGCGACGGGAGGAGGGCATGGTCCGGGGTCGCTTGCTGGACTGTGGCCGCGGGAGGGCGAGCCGGCGACACATCGGCTAGCGGTGATCTACCTCCCGAGCGTGGTTCTGGACAAGAAGCAGGTCGAGGACCCCATGAGCGATTCGCAGCAGCCCGTCAGGACGAAGTCTGGCAACGACCGACAGCAGCCCTCCTCCTCGAAGCGCTGCGGCAGCAGCAGCACCGCCGCGGGCCGGCAGCAGCAGCAGCAGCAGCGGCAGCAGCAGCAACCTCCAGAAAGCGGCCCCGCGGATGTGGAGCTGAGCGAGGTCCAATGGCCCACGAACGCCAAGTCCGTGACCCTGTACTTCTTCAACGGCTGCGTGGCGCGGGTGGCGTGGCCGTCGGGCCTTGAGCGGCTGGCGTTCGGCTCGCTCGAGCCTCCCAAGGCCGCCTTCGGATCCGCGGGCCGTTCGTCGAACCCCCTCGGCGGCATCTTCAACAGGCGCCTGGACAGGGCCGAGTTCCCCGACACTCTGCGGGAGATATTCCTCGGCATGAGCTTCAACCAGCCCATCGACCGCGTCGCGTGGCCGGACGGTCTGGAGCGGATGTCCCTGCCGGGCTTCAACCAGCCCCTTCGGGACGTCCGATGGCCCCGGGGGCTGAAATCGCTGGAGTTCTTGCCCCCCGGGGAGATTCTTCTCCGCGAAGACCCCGAGATTACCCTGGAGAGGCTGAACTTCACCACTGAGACCGGCTTCAATCAGTCGCTGGGCGGAGACAACGGCCTCCCGGCCAGCCTTGAGTGAGTACTGCTGTGGGTATTCAATGCCGTCTTCTTTAGAACATATACATGCAATCACAGAAAGACTGCCCGGTTCTATGTATACATCGTCGTGTCCTGTCGTGTGATATTCCGCATGCTGCTGCTGCTGCTGCATTAGCTGTGACCTACTGCTTGTGCAGCACAAGCTTCGCCCCCCAAACGCACCTTTCCTTTTTCGAGAACGAAAGGTCCTTCGCTCGTGTGGTGCCCCATTCCCCTTGTCCCCTCCCCCGGTCGCTCACACGCTCGCTCCCCCCAAGGCGACTTTGGCTGTCGGACGCCGCTAGACCCCAGGACGGTGTCGTGTGGCCGCGCGGACTGGTCACGCTGGGTCTCGGCGACAGCTTCCCGAACACTGCCCCGCGCTTGGAGTGGCCGCCGACCCTGCGGCGCCTGTACCTCGTCGACGAGCTCAGCAGCGCCCGCCGCGTGCCCCGCGGCTGCGAGGTCAAGGTGCTGATGAACTGCGAGCTGAACGACCCCGAGTGGAACGCCGGCGGGACGGGCGCCCTCCGCGGCCGAGGGCTGGAGGAAGTGCTGGAGTCGTTCGAGCAGGCGTTCGGCGGGGGGGTGACGGGGCTCATGAAGAACGATCGCCGCGGGGAGCCCGACCCGGACGAGGCAATCCCGAGCGCGTTTGTGTGCTGAAAGTGGGCGCTTGCTGGGGGGAGGGGCGATGAAAGGATGAATGTTGCGCCGCGTCTCCGTGGGGCGGGCGAGCGCGAACACGAACAGGAGTCGCGTGGCGTTTGTCGATGGAAGTTGTTTTTGTTGGGCTCGAAACGCTTGTTTACTACCAAGTAGTCGGTGTTCCCGGCTGATTTTCGGGATTTCCCGGCTAATGTCCGGGATATGGTGGGGTGTGAAAATCGCTGAGAATCTCACAGCAGGTGTGATTGTTGGTGGAAAAGTAGTGTTATACCGGCATGAAAATTATTGCACGCAGTAGTTGGACGGTTTCGTCGTGGGACCACGTGGAATGGTTGTTCTGGTGCTTTTGAGCTGATTGTATGCGAGTCTTGTACTTTC